GGAGCCTTGAACTCTCCTACCACCTCTTAGTCCTTCATCAAGAAACCCCCCCCCCTCACCTAATTTTTTTTGTTTCGCTATCGTGTGTCAAATACCTGCATAAATTATTCAAAACAGAGGCGCGTGAAAAACATCCGCGGTCTATACGCGCATTGAATTTTATATACCTATACTCGACTCGGGACAGTCGATCAAATGCTAACAAAAAACGTGGTCGGACGAGAAAAAAAAAAAAAACCACCACATCGAGGAAACAATTTTTGTGCGCACTTACGTGTCGAATTGCAATCATGCGGATTCTAGAGATTTCTATGTACGTGTACGTCGAGTTGTGCAATGGTACAAACAAAAAGGTGAAAAAAAGGTCCCGATATCAGGGAATGGCACTCGAAAATCACGAGAGTATTGGACGTGACGTATCGTTACGATTACTCCCGTATAGTCCGGCTCTTGGGTGTGGGGGGTGGAGAAAATCACGGGTCGAGCGGACGTCGATTAGCGCATCCGTAGATGTCCATAGGAAATCGATGTCCCAATGGTCGCTCTCTTCTCTCTCGTGACCCGAAATCACTTCTGGGAAGATGATGACTGCCGACCCCGCCTCCCGATGCCCGTATTGGCAGATATACGTACCTCCGCCCCCTCCCCTTATGTTTCCTCCGGGTCGCGTTAGATTCGCTACACGTATATTATATATATATACTCGTTTGGTCCGTGTCCGAGCATACGAATGAGCCATTTGATTGCCATTTACTTACACACATACAACTCGAGTCTCTTATATATTATGTACTCCGGAGATTCTTCGGTCGAAGTGTGCGTCTCTTTGCTCCTGTCGTTCGCACGGTTTTTGCGACTCGATACGTCAGATGCCGGGAGGATGGTTTTTTTTTCTTTCTCTTTATCTCCTGCGGCGTGTTTTTCTAGAGCAGTTTGGGTTCGTCGAGCGATCGACACGTCATGGACCAACGTGTTGGCGACAACCAACTCGTTGACTCGACTGTCCAGACCATACTAAACTTCGTCTCTCTTATCTATATACTTCAAAGATAAGCATTTTTTTTTTTTCACCGAAGGGGTTTTCTTAAAATACTATTGTTCCAAACATTCGGGTATTTCGAAAAACATACATATGATACTCGCCTTTCTCTTCTCGACTAATTTTTGAGGTACGGCAGTGACAAACCTCCTACAGTGACACGCGCGCCTGTACTTCCGCAACAGCACCTGCTCGCCCGTGTACCTGCACCGATGCTTTATTCTTTGCCGTTTGATCTATTCATCCTGTATACACCGTTTTTTTTTTTTTTTTTTTCCTCGATAACGGCGTCGTATGCACTCGCATAAACATTCGGCTGCAGCTTTGGATTGTAGATATGAATTTACACTATGAGTAGTTTACACTTATCCACCTGAAAAATGAAAAAGGAGAGTCAAATCGAGCACTTTCGAAAGTGCTCCCTCGCGGAGGGCAATTTTCCGAGTCGAGCACCAACATATTTCTTTCCCTCTTTCTTCTCCTCCAGCACTTTCTCAACAACAAAGGTATACTTACTTTTAGTCGAAAAAAAAAGGGAGGCGGAAGGGGGTACGGAAAAAGCTCAAGCTTAATAAAACATTCGCGTCGTGACAAACGCGCGCACTGCACGTATATATATATACGCGGGTCCCTCGAGAGAAAACCTGGAAAAAAAACGAAGGGAGAAAACAGCGCTGCTCAAGATATAATATTATTGTATATGCGCGTGGGTGCGTACACCGCACCTATATACGTATGGACGTTAAAGTGCAGGCCGAGTCGAGCAAAGCGGCGCGAAGTGCAGAGGGTCGACCGAGCTTGCTCGAGTTATAATTTTTCACCCGAGTGTGCACAAGAGCCAGAAAAACAAAGGGAACATGTCATTACTTGCCTGCCACGTGAAGGTGTACTTATAAGAGGAGCTTAATGTCGTGCGCAAGCATGCCTCTGTGTATACTATATAATATACGTGTAGTACCTGAGTATGTACATGCATATGTATTTGCGAGAAAAAAAAAAAAAAAAACCGCGGATGCGGCACTGCTTGTGTTAATAAATTACGAACACGCGTGGGCCATTCTGCAGGTTGCGCTTTCGCTGTTTGTGGATTTACACTTGTATATACCTATACATTATACGTACCTTCGCTGAAGCCCCGCTTTGTTCTCTCTGCAGTCAGTGTCCATATGCGTTTCAAAATATGTATAAAGTTTTTAATAGAGGGTGCTGTCCTAAAATGGTCATTATCAAAACATTCCATGTTGTGAATAAATTTTACTCTTACGCCAAACCCGAACACAATGTAATCGCTTGGAAATTGTGTGTATTAAGTATGCGTCGATGTGTTTCGATAAAAAATTTGATGAACAGTTTTTTTTTTTTTTCAAAGTATATAAGTGGATGTGGGGACTGTGTATAATCGCACACCTATATAATTATGTAGTGTAACGCGTTGCAGACAAGTTGAATAGATCCCCATTACCGATACAATCAAAGTATGCAAATTCCACTGCCTCTGCCGCACGTGTGCGCGTGTATAATATACATGTATAAATTTAATTTAAAAAATAGTAAACTCCTGCGTAGGTGCAGATTTCCCGAGCCGAAAAAATGAAGAAGAAAAAATATCCCCTACGTCGAGAGCCGCCCATTAGCGCCTCGGTTTAAATTTGAGGGAAGCGGGTACTCTGTATAACGTACACGCCCGTCCCCGAAGCCGCTCGAGCCGAAAATTCACGCCCACGTGCGTCAGTCAAAATGCCTCGTGACCCGCTTAGATCAAACTACAGCCTCCCCTACACATATTGTACACGTAATACCGCGCGTATACGACCACTCAGGGCAATCAGTTCGAATGATTTCGCACCACTGAAGCCGATATTGCGCGTATAGCTTCTCATCTTTTTCCCCCCGCGTTTATCTATCGCGTGTGTATATTTTCGTTGCGCTGTACTCGCGCGTGGGTTCACCTTTATTAGGTGTACGCGTGAAATGATGATGATGACCGAGTTATACGAACAGTGACGCAGTTACAACAAATCGACTCCAGCTGTGCTATGTAGTACATGGGTACGTGTATGTGTTTTGATCTACGAAAAAAGCTAGAGGATACCTCGAAGTTGAGGCTTTTGCTTGACATATATATATATACATAATCTAAACTTGAAAAAGATTTACCTTGTTTGGTTTGACCTCTTATTTTCATCATGTACGAAAGAATAAAAATATACAATAGTTGCACAAAAATAAAAAGTATGTTTGCTGTGGCTCAGTTTACGATAAAGTCAAACCATCTGATCAAATTAAAGTTTATTGTTTGAGCTTTCACCTGATATTTTTTTAATGAATATTCTCATGTGCTTCTCAACTGACTTTTAAGTAAAAGGGTATAACCATTATTTTCTCAAAACAGACGGATGTTGTAATTATTTATACTCTTGTGGGCTGTATGTGTGTCGTGATAAATAAATTCAGCTCAAGCAAAAGTTAGGGACAGAGCTGCGAAAAAAATTTTTTTTTATTTCCCCAATCACGTGATTTTTCGAAAACATCGACATGACTACGCACTTTCAGCATACATTAGTCTGTTACGTAAAATTCGTGCAAAGAGAGAGAGGTAGTTTCGACGTGATGTATGCGGAGACACGCACATTTTCCAGGTCGAATCAAATAATTCCGCGCACACACGCATTTGTGCATTTCGTTAGTGAAAATTAACTCGCGTGCACGCATCCGCCGCCAATTATCGAAATTCATTTCACACATCGATTATATTGAAAACACGCGCATTCGATGATTATTCATCAGTGTATTCAGATGCAAATTAATTTCACTCGCGCGATCGAATTTTTCTTTTCTTTTTTTTTCTTTTTTTTTTTTCTTTTTTCCCGCAAAACCAAAGTTGCGTTTTATACACTTACTACCGTGAATTGTGATGCGTCACTTCCAGGCCCCGCTAATTGATTTCGTTCGTCAATCCTGTAATTTATATATCGCTCTGTAAGTAATAGGATCGATGTGTACCCAAATAGGATTCGAGCCTCTGGCACTGGGCCGAAAAAAAAAAATCTCGGTTGAAGTTTGTCGTACTTTTTTTTCCCCCACCAGATAAAGGTTTTTTTTTTTTTTTTTTTTAATCGTTCAGTCAACTAATCTTTTTTTTTTTTTTTTTTCACGTGTCAGTCCCCAGAGATTTTTTTTTCCAACGTTGCGTATTAAAAATTGCTTTCGAGCTCATTTTTTTGCCCGCCTCGAATTACGTTAGGTCGCGTTACTCCGACTGTCAGTGTACACGTTAAAGGAGGTAAAAAAAAAAATTAAATAGGTAAACGGGAAAAAAGTCGCGCACACTCGTGCGCTTGACGTGCTCTCGTTTCGCTACGGGCCCACACGTGCGTGGCGTACGCCTACGTGCCAAATATACATTAACGCGCCGTTGCCTTCGAACATTTAAATTTCGTTTTATTCGTTAAAACTTGGTTTTTTGCACTGGTTAAAATATACATTTTTTAATTTGTTTTACTTTTGTTAACAACAATACGATTGTTCATATTGCGAAAAAAAACCGTCAATGTATAGTTTTAAGACAATTATTTTTATTTCTCGTTTCTCTCAGTCGTGTAGTACGTAGTACTTTTAAAATACCAATCCAGACGATGCAAATTTTGCTTGTGATCAATTGAATACCATTAAAACTTGAAATACAATTTTTTTTCTATAAACCCAACATAAGTGTACACATACCATCACTTGCATCTTGTACAGTTATTGTTTTTTGTTAGCCGTAGACTAAGTAATCTGCATCCGCCTGCTTTGACATGTTTATTAATTTAAAAGCTTGAATCATTTATTTAATTGACGTTGAAAATCTTATAGTTTAGCTATAATTTAAATGTTATTTTTAAGTTCCTTGGCACGTACGCGCCCTAGTTCGCATGTTCTCACTTTTTGTTCTGTTTGGTTTTGTATTGTTGAAACATAGGTCTCGGCGGATGTCCCAAGACGTGACGCACACCAGATCCACGGAGAATCTCACCACCAACTCTTACTTCAGGTTTGTAAGCCAGAAAATAGCACAACACCCGCGAAATGTTTTTGCAGAGTCTTACAAGTATTAAAATTTACTTCATAATTATTCAAGTTATTTGTCTTGATGTATGCATTTTGTGTTTTGAACGCTCGCACGCTGATTTATATTTGATTTAAACTCATGCCTTTTTTATTTCTTGCATGGCGCATCCCGTATTACTGCCTTGTTGTTGTTGTATTTTCACATTAACATTGATGTATTTTATTCGTAGTTTCATAGCTGCATTTGCCGTACACGTCATCACGACGAGATTACCAATAACAAAACTTTTTTAATACAATACAAAAATTATGATGCGACAGTAAATGCGTTACAAGCTCGGGTGTACTCGAATAATTACAAAGTTTCGTACGTATACCCCCACATAATCTGTATACATCAGATCTATGCAGAAACAACATTTCAAATGTTGTAGCACAAATTTCGTTTTTCGGTAAAATTTGTACAATTGAAAACGACAAGAAAATAATTTAACGGAGTTTTTTTGTTTTATCTCTTCTAGGAGTAAGAGCCGCAGTGTGGATCACGGCTTGACGACGCCTTTCGACTTGGATTTGCTGCGCAACAAGGTCGAGGGCCGCTTCGAGTCCATCGAAAAACTCTCCAGAGGTCAGTGCTAAAAAAAAAAAAAAATTGGTGTTTACAATACCCCCCCCCCCCCACAACGCGCGTAAGGTCAAACAGTCGATGTAGTCTCGGTAATATCGTACGTAGCAGTAATTTATTTTTTACTAATTTCAATGTACCACGTACTTTCGTATCCATGAATTTTGAAAGACATGCAAGCCTTGCAGGTATAGATACATTGCATGTGCACTGAAAATCAATTCTCATTAAATCCGGACTTGTACGGATGTAGTTTTCATATTGTGATATTGTTTATAGGACGTGAAAGCCCTATGAAATCTCGAAATTTTCGTGAACCGTAACCCAAATGTTCCTTATCTCACGTACTTTGTAGAATGTCTTGTGCAATATATGTACTCGGTATAAAAAAAAAAGTGTATAAGGTACACCGGTATGTAGAAAGATAAATAAAAAAAAAAAAAAAAAAAAAAATCACGCGAAGAGATAAAAATTGAGACCGACCGTACTACGACACATGCCATTCAATCCATGTGCCCATCGCAGGTATGTCCCGATCTTCAACGCCAGTACAGTGTACGTGTACACCCAAGGTCTTTTATCGTTTTTCGCGTCCATATGTGTGCCACACGTGTGTGTGTGTATGTATGTACAAGACGACGAGTTTCACTTTAATTGCATCGCATTGACTTACTTACTCTAACTGGAGCGCATAAAATATTTGATTACCAGTGTGTATACGTAGGAATATATATATATATATACTCATGGGCGCGCATTCGTACCGCGGCTTCTTGATTCGGTCCGTCCTTTGATGTATAAACTTGGTTATCGTCGTCGGCGTTGTCACCACCACCGACTCTTTGCGTATTGCCTATTGGACTCTGAATTTTATTCGAATCGTAAATGGTGATATTTTACGTATAAAGCTCGGGCTGGTCATTTTCTTTTTTGGCTCCTAAAATATAAATATAT